TCCTTGTTCTTTCTCCACCCCTCTCCACATACATTTGCACACACAAAAGCATGTATGTTCATGATGCCTATTAAACTAAAGGATTCTCTCATGATGATTAATATGGATCCCAATAACTCACAACAACTGGTAATTCTTCACACAAATTATTTATTTTGCAGGATGGGGTGGGCCAGTTGGATATGTTTATCAAAAGGCCTACTTGGAGTTCTTCTGTTCTCCACAGAAATTGAATGCACTGGTTGAGAAATGCAAATCGTTCCCATTCTTTACCTACATGGCTGTCAATAAAGATGGAACCTGGTTTTTCAGTGTCAACCAAACTGATGTGAATGCAGTGACATGGGGAGTCTTTCCTGCAAAGGAGATTATACAACCAACTGTCGTGGATGCTGCCAGCTTCTTGGTATGGAAAGATGAAGCATTTGAAACATGGTCAAGAGGATGGGCGAAGCTCTATCCAGAAGGTGATCCATCCACAAAATTACACTCGAAGAGGGCAGAGTTTTTATATTATCCTATAATTTTGTCATTCTCCGGACTTCTTTTATTCATTGATATATTTTATACTTGGTTTGTTGAAGTCATCAATTTCCAACAATATGCTATGATTAGCCTCTTGCATTATGACATATCTAAAATATTAGATCATTTATATGGTCCAATACTCAATTGTTTACTACAATTTTCATCAATAACAAAGATAGTTGAATTAGTTTTAAATATTTTTAAATATTTATGATCAGTTCTAATATAAATTATGTTATTCTACCTCTTTCTTCTATAAATTATTCCAAATGAGAGTTCAACCAATTCTACATTTATATATGAATAGACTTTTTAGATATTGACTTGAACAAATTGGTTGCTTTCACGGCCTCCTAAAAATGAGAAATGCTTCACTTACAGTCTTTTTACACATACATTTTGACAGGGGAAAAATTCATAATTCAGGTGTATGGTTTACACCAATTCAAAAGTCAGGTAGATATTTTAACAATTCAAAACTCAGGTATTAGATAATTAATTAAAAAAATTTATTAATTAAATCACAATTATATATTTAATGGTCACATATACATAATTATAGGTCACAGTTTATTTATTGGTCATATATTATCAAATTAATTAGTCAAAGACGATTTCGAGGTGACAAATTCAAAAATTTATAGGTCATAATTAATTTTATTGGTCACATATTATTTTTCAGTC